TTGTTTTTTTTTCTTAATTTTTAATATTTATTTATTTAAAAAAAATATAACTAATTTATTTTATTTTTATTTATTTATCTTTGATTTTTAAAAATCTTATATAATTTATGAGGTAATTAGATGCAATATACTGTAATGCACGCTGAAAATTCCATACCTGTACCACAAATACTGTTTGGAATAAAGCTGTTAATATTATTATTATTAATTGTACTTATATCAATTTACAAGCCAGAAAGTGAATGGATGGAAGAGACGAAAACTTACCGACGATGATGTGAATGATAATGCTCCCGACTGCTTGAACGACTACGACGGCGGGATCGATAACCATCTCTAAAAGTTTAAATCATCAGAACTTAATCATTAGAAGCTCACTGCGAAAGTTATACAACATGAAATATGGCAATTAGAAAAGTCTACATAATAGTGTTGGGGGAGAAGGTGGAAAATAATGAAGAATTGGTTGATTCAGCACTGTTTAGAGAAGTCGCAGAAGTTGGATTTTACAATTTCAGCTGAATAGTAAGTAGTATGACTTCCAACATCTATCAAATGACAACAGATTGGTACTACTACTACTATCCAATTTCAATAATAAGTCACATGTGACTTGATAAACTCCACAAGTCTTCAACAAAAAACTCATCCTCGAGCTAGTCACTAGTGAGTAATGAACTGATAGGACTCACATTTATGCCATCGGATGCATCATGCTCCGCATCCAGTTGAGAAACAACACACTATCTGTCACACTTGGAATAACTGACAAATATTACAATAAAATATACTTTGACAAAAGTAAAAAGGCAATACACTGATTTGTTTTATCGAACAGCACACAGACATATAAGCACACAAAAAAAGTACAGTCAAAGACACAGAGATAGAAGGTATCAGTTTAAGCAGTTAGACTTCGTAAAAAAGCATAGAAAACAGGAAAGGACATAGAAGAGATTGATAGTCTAATGAATAAACACGAGTACGAAGGAGATAATTAAAAGAGGGTTGATGATTTCCAGGGTCTACAGGATAATAAACAATAATCAACCGTGTCTCACCTACAATCTCAGACTATTGATTCTTAGCATAACGGAGACAACAGCAACACACGGCATAAAACTCCCTACAAGTGTTAAACAGATACTCAATCATTTCATGAGTTGATACAGTGTTTCAATTTGATTATTCCTGATACGCATTCAGTCTAATCTTGCTTTAGACAACACTACTCGTTTAGAAAAGCGGTGACACATCGTAGACACCTCAATCGATGGACAAGTTACATCTAATCTCAACAGCTTATATTATGTCACTCCACCTAATGCAGTCAATTGAGCGAAGACAGATCTTTTGACTTCATCAGTCGAGTAACGGATGAACTACTGAGCACTATACAGGTTTTTCCATAAATATCCAGATATCACAACGGTGCCAGAGATGATGCATGCTGGCAGATAAAAAAGTGCTTTTTGTATATCAACTAAGGTTACGTCAGCAACTAGTTTGTTATTCAAGTTGATGAAACCTCCTAATTGGAGTGGCCAACACATTCAAAACAATCGCTCAACATCCTTAACTTAGACCACGCCAAACATGTTAAAATTTATGCATACAGCGGAACAACCATTGAAAATTACCAGGAAGTACTGAACAGTTGTTTCATCCTAGTTTGGGACTCATCGGCAGTACGCACCCACCGGGTCTCAAACCCAGAATTTTCCTGTTACAAGGCAATCTATCTCGTATACTATTCAGCCTCTTGGACCCGATTCAATGGCCTATGAATTCTACCTTCTACTAATTCATGATTATAACGCGACCACCAACCAATGTCATCGGCGGGAACTTGAATCCTAACTTCTACCAATTTATGAGCCACTGAATCGGGTCTCAGTGACTGTATGGTATACGAGCTAGCTTGCCTTATAACAGGAAGATTCTGGGTTCGAAACCCGAAGGGTGCATACTGCTATTGAGTCCCAAACAAGGATGAAACATCTGTCCAGTACTTCCTGGTAGTTTTCAATGACTATATAAACGATATCGATCTGTGCTCAGATTTATGTCTAGACCAGTCATAATACCCAAAGATTTCAAAAGCAAAGTTAAAGACATCTCGAAGTTTAAATCACTTTGAAAGACTTTTATTGATTTTTTAAATACAGAAACGCCCTATTGTTTCCATACGGTAATTATGAACAGCTCGGTTAATCATAGTGACAGAGTTCAACGAAGGAACGGTAAAAAATCAATGCTATTGACATCTCTTTTTGTTAGTCGTGGAGTAGTATCGTCGCAACGTTCTTGTATGATATCGGATACGTAATCATGAGACGTTTGTCGTTCATCATCAGACAGTTCACATAAAGCGTGGGTTCTCTGTGATATGTTTCGCTTAAGTTTCTGTAGACATGGGAGGATGGCGGAGGTGTCTGTCTGAAACTCTCTTCGTTTCCTCAGAATCCAGAACAAATGTATTTCACTTTTCGAATTTCCCTCCCACTCCTTTTCAAATCCAAGTCCTATCACTTGGTCCGAAATTTTGCAATGTATCGAGTAAAATCAACGAATTACAAACCGAAGTTCAGTTCGAGAATTTGATGTCACAGACATTCGATTTGTTACCTACTTCTGAAAAAGATCTTGGTCAATTCAAAGCTTCAGTTCTCGACAGTTGCTACAAGTACCATTCCACTATAGATAAGATTTTTTTTATTTTGATAAATCGCACAGTGTTTACAGTTATATGAACTGATGACGTTCCGAGCACAATTTATTGCTCATAATCATATCAAGGTAATCACACGACTTAAATGAATTTAGGAAGTCGTGTGATTACCTTGATATGATTATGAGCAATAAATTGTGCTCGGAACGTCATCAGTTCATATAACTGTAAACACTGTGCGATTTATCAAAATAAAAAAAATCTTATCTATAATGGGATTATACTCTACCACAGTGCCCAAGTTTTATACTTATATCAATGCTACAAGTACATTCGTACACAACCGAGCCACCGTTATTTGCTGACCAAGGAACAAAGACAACTTAAACAACTTCATGAAAATATAGACATAATCCTCGTCCAACTTGGTAAGGGCAATGGGGGTTGTGGTAATGAATAGGTCCGACCATAGTGAGAAACTAATAAACATACTATCAAACAATACCAAATTCTTCAAATCATCCAACCAGAAAGACACAACAGAAAGAACAGAAAACCTCCTTACAAAATTGCTGAAGAGAATGAAAGAAGATTCAGTCATAACATCGGAGGTATATGAGCAAATAAAACCATGCAGTTCAACTATCCCATGACTGTATGGACTGCCTAAGGTGCATAAGGAGAATGTCCCACTTCGACCTATCACAGACATGGTTGACTCATCATATCATCAGGTCGCGAAGTGGCTAGCTGATACCCTTGAACCAGTAAGACATATGACAAAATATAGCCTTAGCGATACATTTGATTTTATCGACTCAGTGAAAGATATCAACGTACTTGAAAGATAAATGCTCTCACTAGATGTCACCTCTTTATTCGCAGCAGAAATTCTTAGAAACCACCTTTCTAAATATCTGAGGAAGACATTTCAAGCAGCCACCTTACGTATCACATTCTCCAGCAGATAGTTAATCCAGTCTAACGTTAAGGATAAGATACCGCATTTGGCTACTTCAATGCGTATTCATCAGTTTACTTGCTTGGGGAGAGCAAAGTATATCGACCATACGCAACGTCAAGTCCACAAGAGTATTCTGGGACATTGTCCAGCTTGGTTAGCCAGAGAAGAGAATAGCAGCAGCTCCATCTCCGAATATTTTGTCATCTCCGGACATCAAGCACCCCCGCCTGAATGCTTCACAGTGCTACATAGAATCCCTCAATATCGTACAAAAGGACTTCGTATACGCCATCTGTACATAGCTGAAGCGTTAGCTATTCGGGATCTGATATGTATCCACATACTATGTGGATACATATAACAGGATTCACAAATAACAGGATCCGAAACCGGACCTCTGTATTTAAAAGCGTTGCATACATTCACTCGTCCTATCGTGGCCAGACTAAGGTCCTTAATATAATTTTCCTTCTTTTTTTATTATGTAATTTTACTATTATTATTGTTATTACTACTATCATTTTGTTATCATTATTATTTCCCATAATCCATATTTTATTACCACTCTATTACCGTTTATTAAGAAAATTGCGTTTTCATACAGATTTTATATAAAAACACTTTATCGTCTTCCCACTAGTTCCTGTTCGTTCTACATGAGCTTATCGATTAGTCATTATCTGACACTTACTACGTCATGTCAACTTCTGCCTCTTTTCCAACTTCCAATTAGTCATCCCTTCTAGGTTGCACCTCACATTACATAATGGATCTTTCGAGGACAAAGTTAAACAGTATCTGATTGGTGTAATGATTCCTTTGTTAAATTTAATTACTATTGTACAGCTCATGAAAACGAATCGTCGAAAAGAAAAATTTTTTCGCTGTTTACGTCTTTTTCTTACTACTTATTACGGCAATATTTAGTTCAACAATGTGTAACATAAGGGGACTACTTCAGAATGGGAAATCCTTGATTAAACAGAGTCAATAAGTAAATCTCAACGATCGGATCAGAATATAGGGGAGATGGAACAGGAATTTATTTCATTTCGGATGAACACACAATAACCAAGTCATTTGGAGAAATTCAGTTTATAGGAAAGCCAAATTGTACAGGTAAACTAAGTGCGCTTAACTAGTATGTTTCGTCAACTTTTAGAAGTATTTTACCAGCGATCACAATCAATGGGAATAATGGTAGTTGAACGTTGGGCAGCTGTGAACGATTTCAAGATGAACTGCGTAATTTGCAATTCATTTAAGAGTCAACCATTCAATCTATGTAATAGGAATATTTATTTATTTTTGATTACAGCTTGATTCCACACTGTATTTTTGGTACAAGTATGGAAGTTTTCAGCATGTGATATCGGTAGCCCAAATTTTGCAGGCCGACCATAGATATCAGGTGTGCGTCGGTGAGGGATCGAACCTCAGACCATGTGCATGGTAGGTGTCAGTCCCAACCACTGTGCCACCGACGAACAGGTGATTATTTATTCTTTAGCTTTAGTAGTTAAGTTGTTACTAATCAATATTCCATATGCATTCTACATTTAACAATCATGGTAGTTTAAGCTCGTCTACGTGGACCAAACTTTTCAGGTACCAGGCTTAAAGCTACTCTTATCGTTCGAAGGCTTATGATACTACACAATCGCCTGTACTGGAGTGTGTGAAGCCCGACTTGAACCCGTCGTGACTGCTTACGAAGGTTTACCACACAAATATTAGAACAAATATCGTGTTTATAATTAAAAAAAGAAATAACAAAAAAATAACCCAACGAGATAAAAACTACAAAAACAAACTAGGATAATCTATAACCACTGAACGAAGATAAAACCCAAATGAATCATCTGAAAACAGTAGCCCGATGAGTAGGGAAAAAACCCACAAAATTATACAAACTGCCAGCAGCCTGTGCTTAATCTTCAAGGTAAACAGCTGGAAATAATCAGAAAGTTAATGCATCTGAGGAGTTGTGTGATTCCTGTTAGAGCTGTGACATTTCTACTGACATATCGATAGCTGAAGAGGTATATGTATTTTATTCCAGACTATGAAGCTACAGAGAAGATTTATAGCTTCGACAGATGATTCTGGTGCTGCTGTGTTCTCCAAGCTAGAAATGGTTTAGCTGCAATGTTTTAATTTCGCTTATGCACACTAAAATGCTCTAACTGGATTCTAACGATAAATTAATAGCACATTAGAGTGAGTAGACCTGTTCTGTAGGTGCGAAATTTAGCTTTTTCGATCTAAGGACATTTGACAACTGCATTCACAGGATTGGTGTCATTCGACAGTGACTACTCGGATATGATGGAAACTATTTAGTGAGTGAAGTCGTTTGCAGTGGTTTGAGTATAAACTACTAAAATCTCCTCGGTAGCTTACGTACCACCTACAATTTTTTTTTGTTTTCATGCTGATGGGAAGAGTAGCGCACAGAGTAGTTTTATTGGACCACCACTTGTTAAAGAATCACGGAGCCCTCTTCAGTGAAGTTAAAGGAATCACGTGACTTGGCAGCTGAAGACGTGCTGCTAAATATTTACCAGAATCTTATCTAATGATGTTTATGCTGTAGCTTTCATATTCTAACGCTAAAAAATAACAGAAGTTATACATTTTTCTTTGGTTATCTCAGAATAATTTTTGCTTGATTACTTCGCTAATACTAAACTATGATTTTCCACTCTTCCTCATGTTAGCATCATAGTTTTTTGTATAACCTAACTTTCTGATACTCTTGAAGTACTGAGGTTTGTTGATAAACTAGTCTAGGTACTCGACTCTCCGACCACTGCGTTGTGGGTTTGAACCCCGCTTCCTCTACTGACGTTCACGTAGACAGGTGGTAACATTTCCATTTCCAATTTCCGCGCAGTACTAATTTTGTTAAAAATCAATAACAAATCGGTAACAGGATGAGATTGTTTTACCAGGAGCTATGTACAACGACAATTTATCCGAAAGGCAGACAATAAAAGAGAATGCTGTAATAAACTAATTAGGTTACAACTAACACTTGAGTAAACTATATCCATCCACATAAATCTACCACAGCAATATGTTTGAGAGTAACACATCTTACTTACCGATAACGCCTTGAATAACTAATATATATGTATATAACAATGAGTATTAATGTCTACCTATGCATATAATCTTATCAAAATGACAGTTGAATGGAAACTGACATCAATAAACTCAAATCATACGGTTTAGTCTTATCACCATGACGTTAACTGTTATATTTGTTAAATCTGGTTACATATGGGTGAGAATAAAAGTCTAGAGGTTAGTATAAATAAAGGTGATTTGAGTGAGGTGAATTCGTTGGCAAGCTTGAATTTCAGTGTGCATATCGATGAAAAATAAACACTTAGCAAGGGAGAGGGTTGAAAACCTTTTAATAGTTGGTTACTCAGTGAAATGCCTCATAATTAATGATAAACAGTAGAAGGTCTAGTTGCTCCATTTATATATTACATTTGAAATCTTATTTTTTACCTGTAAAGGATAAGTGTCACAGTTAAACATAACTTCCAGCAGGATAAAAGACACTGAGTGGCGTTGGCACAATCACAGATACAAGGAAATTCTCCCTTAGTAATAATTTTACATACTTGCCTTTCTACATCTTATCACATAACTTGAAGACAATGATGCGAACAGAAGAAACCCCAACTATAAACTATGACTGTGATTTCATTTTGTGACTTGAGTCTTACGTCATGGAACTGTGATTAAATTTGTATGAGAGGGAGAGAGCAAGAACAAGAAGTAGAAAAGTATCACATATGCTACTGTTTGACACAGACTAATAAGATGGGGACTATCAGTACTTTTAAATCGCAAGGTCGCCGTACAATTTCAGCTCAGAGAGGCCAGACTTCATCAGCGTAGAGCAAGACTATGCACACCGGAGCATTATAAACCCAACTTCTGACAGTTAGACTGACGTCTCTGTGAAGCTAGTGGTGGCCCAAATTGGTATATGCCACCACAGCTTTCACTGTGTGGTTGGAGGTCTCGTCCACCACACCTCCACCAAAACTCACACAACTACCTACAACAAACTTGTCGACAAATTAAAGTGCTTCACCTGCAAGGGTAAGTGCAGGTACAGGCGCTTGCCAATCTTGCAACAGCACTGTGCACTTAGATGGCGTAAAGCAAATACCATACTTACAAACACTGATAGCCATCTGGTTAAGTGCGATTTGGGCAGCTTGCATGCTATCACCCAGTAAGACGGCATCTTCTCCATACCTGAGGTCAAAAGGTCTTTCTCCCAGAAGCAGATCTACACCACCAACCACGTACGCCCATCAGAGCTGAATCTAGAATGTCATACACGGCAAAATTGAAAAGAAATGGAGAGACTGGGCTACTGGTTAGTAGCTAACGTCACTAATCACACAGAAGAAATGAACATTCTCCTGGAAACTAAAAAACTGTCTTGTAAAATAAAGCAAGAAACTATGCGCTGGACTTACGGGATATATCTGAAGGGAGGTAAGAACAAATGCAATAATTAACAATGGTTAGCAAGCAACTCAAACTTTGTTATCCCCAAAAATATTTAATTGACAAGAAACGTATTTTCGCAAATTTTCCTGCAATTACAACTAGAAGTGCATAACCACGACAAGCATAGAAAAATTGAGTCATCCTCTCATACATAACTTGAGCTAAGTTATAAACATGTATCATGTATCACAGATTAACAACCTCCTATTTATTATGTTTGTCTGCTACTTTCAATGATGAACACAGAGATAACAAAAGAAAACAATAAAAATGAGATAATTACCTTTCATAATAGCTCGTTTCATCTCCGTGGTGATGACGTCGGCCTCTTCGAGATGCGGTATCTTCGTTTGAACTATGAAAAGTTTTTTTTTAAAAAAAGAAGTTAAAATCGATGTATATAGTTAACAGTTAAATTTGTAATGAAGAACAGTGCATATTCAAATAAACACAATCACTTACTACAGTACTTTATTTTCTTGCTTTAACCGCAATGATAATAATGTTTCTTTATTTTATTCACTTTGCTTTACACACCTTGTCTTCAATAACCAGATATTATCAAAGAATATTCATCAGTAAACGAGTAGTATCTAAGTGCTACGATAGCTTTGCACTCAAATAATCATTAGTTAATTAATTACTTTTCAATGAATCAACTACAATAGTGACAAAGGTAGTGTAACTGCTTAGCGACTATCCACCTAGAAGGTGAAGTGGATCGTCACCGTAAAAACATTGGTTTGGGGTGGTATCATAGCACAAGTTAAAAAAAGGCCCGGATTCATGCGTCATCGAATTGCAGCCCAAGTGGCTTATTGGTCAATGGGCTTGGTCTTCTAACCTGGAGGTATCTGTCTGTTTTCGACATAGAACTTTGCACAGATGTGCGGAAGTTCAAGTCGCCACATTCCGTGTAGGACGCGAAGCAAGAGAAGAAAGTACAAGAAAAGCATAATAGAAACAGTGAGCAGAGGTGTGAGACAAAGGAGTAATAAAGAAATACAAAACAGTTTCATTGAAAATCATAAGTCACAGGGAGTGGATGCATCTGCACTAGCCATTGAGAACGATTTTGAGCCATGTCACCAATTGTTTCCAGCCTTCATTGGTTTTTACCGTCCCGAGGACCCCAAACCGGAAGTCTACACCTTCCTACGTGGCTTAGACTAACTGTTGTGGATTCCATTGACTAGTGCCATGTTTTGGTTTGACCGCCACTAGTTCTTTTCCAGTCTGACTCTATTTCAGCTAACATTGCTCGTCGAGGGAGGCGATGACTAGACATATGTAACACGTGTCCTAACCATCTCAGTCGATGTAACTTCACAGCGTCGTCGATTGATTTCCCCTCCTTAAGTAGAACTCGACTAACGCCTAAACCTCAATATTGCTCACCTTATTATACCACTTCACACGGGAGATAGAACACATGCACATATGGTCAAAGACATCTAGCCAGGCTTTTCATGTCTTCCACTCTCAGTGGCCAGGTCTCACAGCCATAAAGGAGGACGGAGCGGACTGATGAGCAGTACACCCGCCCTTTGGTCGATAGTCGGATATCTCGTCTACTCCAGAGATGACGTAAACTGGCAAATGCGAAACGAGCCCCCTGTATTCGTGCTGAGATTTCGTCAGAAATCAACCCGTTGGGGCTGATGGTACTTCCCAAATAAGTGAAGCGGACAACGTGCTCTACCACTTCACTCCCTATTTCTAATCTAGGAGTCGGTGTAGTCCAGTCTTGTAACATTATCTTGCATTTGGTATTGGGGTATCGGGGTTCGATCTCTCTTGTGGAGTCGAGGATGTGCCCTGTTCAAGAGTTCCACACAAAAACGAAACAACTTCATCCAGTGCTATCTCGTTTTCAATCATTTCTTTAACTGATGTTGATTCTTGAAGAAATCTAACAACCAAAATAAAATTATTCCAAATTCCTGCTAATCCCACCTAGAAGTTGACAGAAGCAGCTACGAGCAGTCACCCTACTGTCAGTGGAATAGAAACCGAACTTCCGTCTTATTGGAGAAAAGTTAGTAGACTAAGATAATAATATTAGATCATGAATGGCTGATCCATTACGTTGTATCTGCGAAAAACAGATTAAATGACAGGAAATGATTTGACTGATTGATGGACGGACTGGTTTCAACATTAGAACTTTGCATAGATATGCAGTAGTTCAAGTTGCCATTCTCCATGTGGTACACAAAGAGAAGAGAATAAAGAGTTAATAAACAGAAGTGGGAGTGAGGGAAAAAATAGTAATATAGAAGAAAAATAGATTCCACTGTGGATAAAATTTATTTTCGATAAAGTCTCACAGTGTTACATAGTAATATTTACTGATGACGTTTTGAGCACAATTTATTACTGCTCATAATCATATTAAGGTACTCATACAACATTCTAACTTTGTGTATATGATTTCATTATTTTTCATCGCTTGACTTGATTGGTAGTAGTATTTTCCATATTTCCTGCATGGGTTATGAGTCATTCTTATTGCACTCACTACTCATTATCTCCAGCCATTGGTTTTAAATATCCCGAGGACCCCCACCAGACTGGCAGTCTACTGTATGTCTGTCTGTCTGGATTCAACATAGAACTTGGCATCGAAGTGCAGCAGTTCGAGTTGCCACGTTCCAAATAGCACACAGAGGTAGACAAGAAGATGAGTGAAGAGAATCAATAGAGTTTGACAAGTATAAGAGTGAAACAGAATGGGTAATGATAGAAAGGAATATGAAAGATTACAGAGACTGAATACATCTGCGCGATTGACAACGATTTTGAACCATGTCACCTATTGTCTCCAGCCATTGGAGACAATAGGTGACATGGCTCAGACCGTAGGTGTTACGAATTTCCTGGAATAATTTGATTTTTGATTTTTTTTACAGCTTGATTCCACACTGTACTTTTGGTACAAGTATGGAATTTTCAGCATGGATATCGGTAGCCCAAATTTTGCAGGCCGACCATAGATATCAGGTGTGCGCCGGCGTGGGCTCGAACCCCGGACCATGTGCATGGTCGGCGAGAGTCCTAACCACTGTGCCACCGACGCACAGCGTCGTAGAAACTATGGATTCCCAAGGAATAGATATGCCGACAGCTATGGGAAATGGTGTCTGTTTCCACAGTCCGTCCACAACCTCACCAAATCAGATTTTGATGACGATATACAATAATAATGGTACTGTGGAACAAGTATAAGGTGGGGCAGAACAAGTCCGTTTTGAATAGGAATAGTCAGTATTTATGTATATAGCACAGGTCACGAGGGTGTATAATCAGTGGTGTAAACAATCTGCTTGTTCCACAATACACTTCTGGTACGATTCTAATTTGCCTTTACTGGCTACTGTGTGCTTAAATTAATCGACTTATGTTTGCAGAGGATGGAGAATTTATTGAGAGCAATTGTTTGCTCCAACTACTTTTGTTCTGAATAAATTATAGAAACATTCCAGTCACACGACAGTCCCGATGGCCGGAAAAGAACAGCTTTTCATGCTGTTAGACCGACTTAATTTTAAATAAATTAACTAAGCTCGACACGTTCGCATGGTCTTTTCCTTCACTTATGGTGTGCAAACACTTCTGTATATTTTAATGCAAACCGTAACTTGAGCTGATGCACTGTACCATCTAACTTCGTAATGTATTTCAAGTAGGTCGATAACCTATTTCAAGACAACAGCTTAACCACAGGACTTTAAACAATCCTGTCAGTTTTATGAAAGTTATATCTACAACAATTTTAAAGAGAAAGGCAGTCTACGCCTCCCTACGTGACTGGTTTAAACTAACTGTTATGGATTTCATTGACTGAAGTCATTTTATGGTTTGACTATCACCAGTAGCTCTTCTCCAACCTAAACCCATGTTAGCTAATATTTCCCATCGAGGAAGGCGATGGCTAGGTATGCGTAACACACGTCTTAACTATATTAATCGATATAACTTCACAAACTTTTCGATTGATAAAGCATTTGAACAAAGAAACGGAATATCTAATACACCAACCAAGGACAGGTAAATGCAACATGAACAAATCTCATGTACGTGTTTACATAAAATCGTGTTGCCTAAACGTGGATTGGTATAAAATGGGATCTAAACATACGACCCATTCGTTGAAAGTTGAGTGGCTAAGCCATTGGAACGAACTTCTATATAAGATATTTGCGAAACACGGCAGTGGGAACGATTTATTTTAAAGGCAGACAACGGCAACTTAATGACATAGTTAAAAGAAGAACAATTAAAATCTAAAACAAAAGTAATGTTACGGATTAATTTTGACATCAAAGAGTGAGTGATCCCAAGGCACATTTTGCATATGAACTGCAGGGTGAACAATTCTCAATAAAGTGAGTAATCGGTGACAAGGCATACCATTAGTTCTTAGTGAAAATTTAATTTCTTGTTTAAATAAACGCGCAGACTGAAGTATAGCTCCGCAGAAGAAACGCCTCTTGTCACACCCACATACTCGAGAAAGCCGTAGAATACATTTTTAGAGACATAAATAGCCGTAATGAAGTGGAAACAGCAGATATGGCATAACATTTGAAATTTAGAGTAGGAGTAAACAAAAAAATGCGGTCACAGTTTGTGATCAGTGTTGAACTATTCTGCTTAGAGCTTATAATTATTGCTTTATGATATCTTAAGGATCCCAGCCAAGAGGCTGGCATTCATTCATACAGAGTTAATGAGACAGGTGAACGGAGACGCCGTACTACCTACTAATATCTACCTAATGGGTGAAATTTACGCTACCACTTAAAAAAAAGATTACAATTGTAAAAAGCATTAACACGTAACAACAAAATTAAATGGTCAAATAGTAATAAATTGTGAAAATTTGGATAAAGATATAGCAGTTTACAACTTTGAAAAGGCCTTTAACGACGTTGACCGTAGAGTAATTTCGGAACTACTTTAGCACTAGGAAGTGCCCCAAATCTTAACCAACCTCATTCAACAGCTAAATGACAATGGCACTTGTCAAGTGGTCCAAAATGGAAAACTCAGCGAAGCCTACGAAGTGAAGACAGGAGTAAGACCCGGCTGCCTATGATCACCGATAATATTCCTGATTGTGGTGGACTGGATTATGCGGCACACCGTGCATGGGGAACGAGAAGACAAGAATATGCTGGATCAATAAGAAGAATCTAAAAGATCTGGACTTTGTGGACGACTTTTGTATAATATCACATAAATTCGAAGGCTTACAGACGAAAACCAACAAGTTGGTAGAAGAGGCTGGTGTTGACAGGATTTCAGGTGAACATTGGAAAGACACAGGTGAGGAAATTACTTAAGTAACAACAATAAGTACCATTTACTATTAACGGAAGGGATTCGAAAGAGGTCACTTCCTTCACTCGTTTGGGCGGCATCGTTTTAACTACAAGCAGTATGGACTAAGATATCAAAAACGCAAGACAGATATGTACTAGTCTGAAATCCGTGTGGAAACATTACTGCATTAAACATAGAGGACAAGATCCTGACCCTAAACGATAATTGCAAATTAGTGCTTCTATACGTTGAGACTTGGAGCATCACGAAGCGCAATTCCGGCTACTTCAGATGTGTCAACAGCTGCTTTCGCTGGCTCGATACTGAAGATCAGATGGTTAGCCAAAAAGGATAAGCAATAGAGAGTTGTGGGAATGAACCAGTCTAGAACCTAGAACCCAATAAATATGCCGAAGGAAATGAAGACGGTTCAGACACCCTGAGAAGACTATGAGTGATATCGCACGCCAGGACATCGAGTGGAACCCGAGTGGGAAACGAACTGGACGTGTGTATGAGGGTGCCACGTATGAGATGAGACCTTATTTGCAATCGCAGAGCCAGATAAATAGGATTCTAAAAAAACAAGATGAAGTGGAGATGTGCTGGTGGTCCTATGTTCCACTCGAAACCCAACGGAATAATAAATAAAATTAACTAGGCAATGGGAAAATAGATTATTACTTACAACACTGAACCTGGACTTCGGTCTCCATGATCAACGATGTTAGTAAACTGACCAGTAGCAGGATCAATAACAGCATCATTCGGTGCAATAAGGCCTGATAATCCCATATTATTATTTGGCCACCCAGCTAAATTATTCACAACAGGAGGAGGCACTGCCAGATTAGGAAATAAAGCAGCGGCAGCTGCGGCCGCCGCCGCAACAGCAGCAGGATTCGTGGTATTCAAAACCTGTGAATTTGCAGCAGACGTCAATGATCCAAACCCAGGAGGAGGCATGTTAAAAACACCTGTACCACCACCGACGGCGTTTCCATCACCACCACCCAGATATCCAGGTGGCGGTTGATTGAATTGACTGAGTAAGTTAGAACTATTATTCACATTCCCATTTAGTAGGAGTCGATTAGAAACATCAGATGGTGAACTTGTAGCTTTTGAATTAGTAACTGAATTTATTTGTCGTGTATTTAATCCAGACGTGCTAAGATTAATTACATTAATACTAGCTTGTTTAGAAGTCTCATTTGAGCGAGAATTCGAAGAAACACCACCGGTACGAACTCGTTGTAATAAACCAGTACCTCCACTATTCAAAACAGGCTTCAGAGTTGTATTTGCATATTCCTGTCTAAGAATTTTTTGCTTTTCACAGTACTGAACCCATGTCTCTTCAGTAAATCCATAATTGAAATAGTCTGTTATGTCAGCTCCAGGTCGTTTCCATGGTTTTTCTTCATCGCCCAATATAGACAGGTTATATTCTACCGTTGGAATACCATTAATATCTCCTGGATCATCGAGTTCAATGCCTTGACGAGCAGCTTTTTGATCTGAAAGGATGAACAAATCAATTCATAATGACTAAACTATCAAAAGGAAAATCGTGAGTAGTCAACATAAGGTTTATCAGGAAAGTTTAATTTTCTTAAAGATTAATTTCACAAGTGAATCACAAATATAGGCAATAATAAGGGGCTATCGTGCTTTCATATAATTTTAGTGTATCTCGATCGCTTCCGAATTTTTGGCCATCATTAAAAATTACCTACCACATTTCCATTTGGAATCTTAGTTGTGTAAACAAGCAAAAACAGTATGAGAATACTTCCTGATTCCATTATTCGATATATCGTTTAAACGACTAAATTATCATTACCAAAATATTAAGCCATGATATGCATACACCAAGATCTTACCTAATCTATTATAACAGTTCGAAGTGAGTTTAGAGCAAATGGTTCCCATAAAAATTCGACACGAATTTTATGTTCAAGGCTACACTTAGTTATTGTGAACTTGTAACTGAAACTTACTTCATACTGCACACATTTACTTCTCTCTGGTGATCAAACGGAAAAGTGTATTCTTAATCACTCAAACTAAAAGGTTGCGTTCATTTCTTGATAAATCTAATGAAATGCTAGACAAATAAATATAGACAAGTCCACCAAACTTATATTACTGACATCTTTCGTAAAACATAGCATATATAGTTGTTGGCAGTGTAGTGGTTTATAAGTTGCATAAAGGGGTGACAAACAAGCGAAGATAGGTTTACCAGGGTAGGGGAATGCAGCAAAGGCAATTGACTACTTATGTTCATATCAATTATTATTTTTGCATTAACGTGACTTTGAGCTTTTAACTACAGCATGGCATTGTTGAAGCAGTTGAGTGAGAGTTGATAGTTTACACTCTTTATTGAATGGAATTTCGAACCTGTGTTGAATCTTATTTGAATATAAAAAGCAGTGGCTAGCACTTAAATATTGTGAAAAGCAGACCCTGTCAGATAAAAACACCCGTATTATTGATAATTGAAATTATGGATACCGAAAAGACAACCCACAACAGTGATATTTTTGCAAACTATCAATCTTCAATATGTACAGGATGGAAGGTGTGTATTAGTACTCCCAAAATTAAAAAAAAGATGTAAAGTATGTGTTAAGACTTGTTATACAATGTGTAGCTCTGATAAACTCAAAATATCTACACTTTATGAGCAGGATCTACATCAAATACATATATATATGGCAGTTGCACACTTTAATACTAAAGCTTTGACTACTGTCAACGAATTCACCAATGAGTGTCACTTGGCATCATAATTCACTGGTTGTCACAAGAACAGTACCAATATACACTATAGTTACTGGTTGGAAGAGCCGATTTGATCATCCACAAAACCATCACGCTACGGAGAGATATAAATCACCATTTGCAGATAATCCCGGAAACAATACCGACAAAAGGCCAGAAACCAGCGGGTTCGTGAAAATATTAGTTGAGCTGCAGCTAAGGATAGTCATTGTGAATTTATCGTGTGAATAGTATAAAAAGAAACAGTACGAATTGGTGGCAAATACACATTACATTCATGCCAGAGCCGTGAAAAACAATCGGAGAAAGAGCCCGCATCTTGCACGTCACCTTAGTTCACCACATTTAGACGCAGAATTGTTGGAGTGCACAATTCCCAACTAAAAGATCACTGCTACAGATATCACGAAGGCGTTTCTACGAAGGCAAAATGAATGTAGTTTTCTCCTCATGCAGACCACTCAATTACTGGTAAATATTGACTTACGCTGAGTAGTGTGTACGATGGATCGTGCTTGATAGGTTGTCCCAGTTTTGTAAATCCCTGTCTTGCTGGAAGGCTTTATTATAACATTGACTGTATCGTCATCGGCATCATCTTCCTCACACTGATCGTCTGCATCGAAGTCGGCAACTGCGGCCGCAATCGCAGCATTTCTTTCATCATCCGCATTCGAACAAATGCTCTTATCATTTGCATTACTTGACTCCCCAACTACTTCTGTTTGTTCACCTTCCCCATCAACCACGTTGGGATCCACTACTGATGGATTAAGAGAATTACTATCATGTTCATCTGTTGTTTCAGGAAACTAAAGACGAGAAACAAGTATGCGTCATTAGTACAACAAACCTCATTATCCATCTCAAGGAGACGGATTAAATTAGGCGGTATTCAATCCCCAATGTACAATTTGCGACCTGGTATATATATATCCTTCTTTCTACTCCCTTTATTGTCGGTGAGCGACACACAACTGATTTCTTACCGATTACCGTAATTTATTATCCGCAACTTTCTTATCATAGCTCTGGAAAGTTGACTAACTGTAGGTAATACTACAATCATGCTACAATTCCAATCGGTGTTGGTACTTTTGAGAGTGAAAAATACAGACTGATACTTTCATGTGTTAGGTATGAGAAAGAGAGTGCCTTAAGATGACCCGTTTAAGAACTTCTCTGTTTTGGTTGAATTAGTGTACACGTAAAATTGCATAAAACGTTTGGGTTAAAGCCAATTCGGTGTTGCCTATTGCTTTTTTGAGACCAAGTTTCACAACCTCTTGCAGCAGACTTTATACTCTACGTCGTCCTAGAGTTAAGTGACGCCTTTAGATATAAGGTCTCTACCTGCGGCTCTGCACCCAGCCATCTGACCGTAGGGCGAAATAAAGAATACGCTTTGGCCCCGCATAATTTGTGTCTGTTGTAGGGTTACTGTGTTCCCTTCCACTCATCTCTGACAAAAATTTCCCACAAATAATTCTTGTTTTTATGTGCACCTTTTATGAATATTGGTTATGTATATTAGTAATAAATGTGTTTTGCTATTTTGTTTGTATTCCAATTCTTTATTGGACGCTGGCTTTGAAGCGACATACTGTTTAATAAATGTCCATTCACAGCCTATTTAATAATTCGCGCACCTTTAATTCCAAATCCTCGGTCACTGAATGAACCCCAGTCTTCGAGTATCACTTTGACCTCGTGTCTATTGTGTTTCAGAGACTTCGTAGAAATAGACCAAATTTTGTGGGTCATAATTGAGTCAGGCCAGCACCCAGAGCTAGTGATGAGCAGACTTCCCAAAAATTCTTCGGAGCACTTACTTCCTAAGTAATGTGGATAAATAATATACGCATTTAACTTATTTTTCATTTATCTCCGCTTTGTTTTTGTTTAAGTTTTTATTTATTTTAATGTTATTTCATTTTTCAAATCTTCATTTTGGATATATTTTCCTACTTGGATGTCACGTGCCTCCTCTACTTCCTTCGGTGTTACTTAAAGTGACTTTTGCACCTCCAAACCGCAAGCCGTCAGTTCCAACTATCTTGTTCCACCTGTTTTTAAACCAAACAACTTATACGATGGATTGAAAACTCCGATAGATGTTGTAGAAGTGTGAGAAGATCGTGATGACACCTGTTGGTATCACTGCAGGTTTGAAGGCAATCCACGCTGTTGTTCAATCCTTTGTGATTTTAAGGCAAACTAATAAACATGTCCCAATACAGCTTTCTTTCAGGTCAGTACAAATGGTAACTATGATTACCTATGTTACCTAACTATTTCTGACACTAAAAATCTGGTTCATACGTGTGTATATGTGGACGTTTTTGAGTTCTCCACAACATAGAAGATACTATAAACGCCGTGATCGCCAATTATGCAGTTAGTAATGGAGTACACAGAAGGGCGGCACCAGTGAACAAAGTGGAACTATATCTCATTTATAATTTGTATGGTTTCCTTTTTCTGTGGAACGATATTGAATGATGAACAATCCTCTGTGTATATATAGAAGTTTGCGCTCACTTCTCCACTGGAACGCTTAATAAATAATAAAACGACTACTGTCATCTGAAACTCGATGTGCTGTCGCCAGATAGTTACGGTTATTATTTTCATGCCGGAGTTGGTCACTTAAACCTTCTCCTCCTCTTAGGTATCGGCTACAGTAAGCTAGTCTGCAGGTATCGCAACAAACTCCCTAACATTTTATTGACCTGGTTTAGGAACACAAACCTACTTCTGGATTTTGAACTCCATTCCGTCTCTACTTAAAATTCCTCGTCACTCAGGCTAAATAACATTGTCAATGTAGGTGAGCATTGAACGTTTGTTTTTGGAACAAGTAGCCATTAGTGGAGAAACTCGAAGGCTCGAATGGTTAGATCGTGCAAACGTTCGAAGAGGACGACCAAAAACGAATAAAATTACTTCACAGTTTTGTCCAAAATATTTGTTTATAGACTTTAAATGTTCTCCGCTTTAATTACCAAACAATATGACTACTGTCAATCACGTCTCATAAACCGTTAATGCCCAGCTCTCGCTACGCTCGGGCCCACGCTGTTCCTTGAAGATTTCAGAAACGCTTAGTTATAACGGACGAAAAAACCAAAACACCGATCTGCCGCTTGATATTTCTTTATTGTTACACCAACATATAAAAAGAATAAGGGAACTAAGGTTTCTGACGATGTTTCACTCTTCTTTCTGAACAGCGACCGATGAGACGATAACTGTCGTATTGATGCCTCCGCGAAAATCGAGGAAGTTGATTTTGAGCAAACAACCTTGAATTGATCGTTCAGTCTTCAACTACATTGACACTCCCCGTCAAAAAAGGATCTATTCCTTTTTCCATCACGACCAATACACGTTGATTTGGATGCCATTGCGAGAACCTGGGTCATACGGACAGAGCTGAAATGGAAAACAAACAGAAAAGCCAACACACCACAAGCATACTCACAGCACAATCTCACACATCAATGACGACCTGCGCCTCCAGTTAAAGGTGTCCTCTTGACATCTTGCAACACAACCGCCATTTGCTAGAATGACTCTTGCAGAATGCAACGTGACCATGGCACCACCTCACGATACTCTACGCACATCCTCTTATCTACTCACTACCAATTACCACTGTAATCGCTTGTCACTCATTCTGCCTCAGTTCTAGTAACGGTGATGTATGCGAGCCTCAGTCGTTTACACTCTTTCTCCCCGGCGTGTCGGACCGCAGCTAACAATTATCTCCGTGTGCATTTCATTCTCAGCAATAGCCTCCCCGGCGTATACGACCCATCTGCTGTCTTTAACATCAATCAATTCATTCATGGATGTAGAAGACTCGAAACAACTTCAGAAGTAATCACGACGAAAATTTTAACAAAATTACGCAATAACAACAAGATACGAAAACAACAAGTAAACACAATGAATCCAAAATACACCAATTGATATGACACACCACACGTATATACAAATAGTACAAACAACCTCGCGATCATGTCTTGGTGGAATTCCTTTGAAGAATTGCAGGACTTACACCAGTACGCCTACAACCCTTCTCAGGTTGACGATTGTAAGTTGTGGAATGTCCGGACACAAACAAGATTAACCAACAATTACGATAATTGGAACTCACACAACTATTTAACACAAACATATGTACAATCACTACATCAAATGTTGTGGATTCCGGCATGACAAACTACCCTTGAAGAACTGTAGGACTTACAGCAGTACGCCTACATTCCTTCTCAGGTTGATGATCCAAGTGGAAGTCGTCCGGACACAAACAGAATTACCAACAGCTAGATGACAGATGATATCAATTCAGTATATACAATATGAACATATGTACAAGATCATACACCAAGCACATTGGACTGCTCATTGATGCGCTACCCTTTGAAGAACTGTAGGACTTACAGCAGTACGCCTACAACCCTTCTCAGGTTGACGCCCTAGGTTGGAAAATCGTCGCAGAGTTCATTTGCTGACTTCCTTCTATCAGCTATATCCTCAAATCTGAACGGCAACACGCCCATGTCATTGTATCGTAGAATATAGATGACCAACAAACACACGACATATCTCATCAACCAAGTGTAGAAACAGAGTAATTTACACCAAAGATAATAACATTCAAATAGTAACTTGAAACTAGAAATGCCTTTATTCGTGCAAGTCAATTTAACAATTACTCTCTCGTTTACACTTGGCTTATCCTCACTAAACTGACCATTGATATTCGTCCTTTCAAACGAACTGATACTATCATAGTCATTGCACAAGATACTTGAGTTGATGGGTGTCTGTTTCATTGTGGATGACAACACCAACGACGACTGAGTGACACGAGTCGATGAAATTAGCGGTGGATCAGAAGCTGTTGTTGCTCGACTTTCAGAAATTTGTCTACCTGCAAGACCACCACCACTGCTGTCTTTTACTATCAGCTCAGGTTTAGCACTAGAATCTGATGATAGGTGGGCTACATGCTGATCAATTACACTGACGGTCTGACAAGTATGCATGCCTGTTGCAACTGCATTTATTTCTACTTCACGTTTGAGTTGTACAGAACCTTTAATTAACTTAGCAGTAGTAGGCATATCCCTCATCTCATCATGATCAAAAAAAGAAAAATCTGCACTATCATGATCATTATCACAAATATTCAATTTACCATCATCTATCTGTCGACTTCATCATCAAACTCTTTAATAACAGAAGTAGACAATTTTGGTTCCTCCTTGCAAATCCTTCTATATAGTTTTATATCTTCACTCTGACTAGTAATACCTTGTAAACTTGTAGGGTCAGAACTGCACTCTGAAGCAGCAACTCTATTCTGTGACACTCTATTCAACAATGGCTTACCAGTTGCAACTACAGACTTCTTCACAACAACGTTATCGTCACACAATTCGGAGTCAGACCTGGAGTTTACATTTAGCTTATCACTGAACTTGCTCACTGGTTCACAGTTCACCTCTGTATGCACCTCTTGCAAACGTGTGAAACACAACCGTGTTTGTCTTGCATCTTGTAACTTATCTGTTGAGGATGTACTACGAAACCTGTTACACTCACTAGGTCTATATGCATTACTAGACATCATGGAGCCTTCTCGATATCCACCTCTCTGAGGCCCTTTCGTCATCAATGACTGCGTTTTACCCTCAGACTGCTCTATTCTAGGGGTGAGATCAATATACTGGCGAACTTGCTCATAGATTGATTGACGCTATCTTTTACCAGTTTCAGGATATCATCAAACTTTGGCTCGATACCCTCATCCTCCATACGGGAGCTTATCTTCACCCACTTCCTTTGCAGTCG